CAATTTTGCGTGCAGAGCTTGTTTTTGTCACTTGCCAGAGGTGGTACTGAATTTACTTTCCAGGTATCTAAGCTTGAGTATGAAATTATTAATCATCCTTCATCAGCAATTGTCATTGGTCGTTCTGGTTAGTATTAAAAATTTTGTTATGCTTTTATAATTAGGGAGAAAAGGCTAACGTTATTTTTTTTTTATACCTAGGAACTGGAAAAACCACATGTATTGTGTTTAGACTTCTTGCTTCATACCTGAAAAGCCAACCCAACGAAACATCAAATGACAATGGTGAGGATTCTCATAAAAGACAAATATTCATTACGTTGAGTGATAATCTTTGTCACAAAGTAAAAGAAAACTTCAACAAATTGCTGACGTCGGTAGCATTTGCTAATAAAAGGATGTACAAAGATCAATCCCACGAGGAAAGTGATAATATTGATGTGACAAATGACACAAAGATTGGGAAAGATAAAATTCCAAACTCATTCCGTCTTCTGACAAAAGACCATTTCCCATTAATAATTACCTATGAAAAGTTCATCAAAATGCTTCTAGGAACTTATGACATTAATGTACTGAATCCAACTAAACAACCAAATTTTGATATCGATTTTCAAGTAATTAGAAATGTCAAAAGAAATTTCTTACAAAAATTTTCAAGAACAAGTGCAAACGAGAATGGGAGATTATTATAATGTCAACGTTTTAAATGAATGAATTGTTTTTTTTATTAATTTATACCAACTGTTTTTTTATTATTATTTAATAAAACTTATTTTTTAACGTAACATGTATCACATGATTTAATCGATTTTTTATGGATATCTTGGCTTAGCAGATAAATTTTCTGGAACAAACATATCCGTTATACCAAGGCTCACTGTGTATGTATTCATTCGGGGGCTTCAATCCAGATTTAAACAATCTTGCTAATTTCCATTTTGTCTTTTTATTATCGGCTGGATGTACTATGTTTTTAATAAAATTTCAATTCTTCTGAATTATCGTCCAGACCACTTTCATCACTAGTTTCATTAAATGTCTCATCTTCCATGCTTCAAACCGAAAACTTTCAATTCCATTGTTTGATGATGAACTGACGAAAGAACTTGATCCATTCTATATATCATCAATGTCATCTTTACCATCTTCACAATCATCACTTTCATCACTTCCATCAACTCCATTATTAGGTGTTCACCAATAGATGGAACAGTGTTAGAAATTTTTAATTATTGTTATGTAGCCTTAGGTAAAGACCATTCCATCCTTTTATTTGTATTTAGACTTTGCAGATAGCTAAACAATTACTTTTATTAACAAAAAATATGCAAAGGCTTTCCATCCGTATGTCTACTACTCATTTTAAAAAAATAAAGGTAAAAATAAAGAAAAATTTTCTTTTTTTGCATTACTATGGAGCAAGTGAATCTACAAAGTCATATGATCTTATCACGTGTATAAAAAATTATTAGGAAAATTGTTGCTTGCTAGCATTAGTCATAATTCCCACTCCAAAGAAAAAAGAATTCCATGGCGGCATTATTACATGTAAGTAGATATATATTTATTCTAATAATGAAAATAAAATTCACGCAACTTTTTCATCGATTCCTGTGGTTCCAGTTTGGTTTTAATTCTCGCGATTCCAGTGTTCCAGTGTGTTTCCCACTAGGACCGGAAATTCCAACACTGCTCTTGAGCAATTAATAAAAATACCACGTCAAAACTTAATTTTTTTTTCACAAACTATTAAAAATATGATTAACAAAACGGGTGTTCCAAAACTTTTGGTCAGGTACTGTATAATGTGAACTAATAAATTATCAATTAATATTTACAAGATACCAGGAAATCACAATGTTGATGTGAAAATAAATAAAATAGTTTGATTTCAGTAATAAACTAATAATTAATAATTTTAAAAAATTAAATCTTGGTTATTCTTTTATGAGTTATAGTACTAATAATATAATAATACCCTTATTTGTTGCTTCTTTTATTTAATTAGAAAGTAAACCAATGAATAAATTCATTAGGTATACTACACTTATAAATGAAAATGGTATATATAAAAGTGTCAGACGAGGGTCATTTGGTAATGACAAAGATCCAAATTCTCCATTACCATATATAAAAAAATTCGATTATGTGATTAATAAATATCATAAAAAAATTTTATTAAGAATACCATTAAGAAAATTAAATGTCGCAAGCACTGAAGTTTGAAAATCTGCAAACTTATTGGTATTATTATCAGGTTGGTGAACAATCAGAGAATTTTGTTCATAAGTGTTACTATTTGTACAAATTGTATAATATTTAGAAGCAAGTTTCCAAGGATTGTTAGGATCATCATTGAAAATAAGTTCATTCACTCTAAAGTTTGAATTGGTTTCAACAAGATATTAAAGGCATACGAAAAACCAAAAGTAACTGTAAATAAAATAATTAAAATGGATGAACTTTTGCAGCAACTCTAATATATTGGAGATAGTGATATTAACTTTAGCTAGTAATATAACCATAAAATCGAGTTATAACTATGCACCAAGATCTGTTAAACAACATAATTAAATTCAGAAAAATCATTACAAGCATATTGGAATATAAAACTGTGTTCACTCTTTCTCGTATATATTATAATAATAGATTTGTGATAAATGTAGATAGATTCAGAGTTAATTGGTTGGATAATTATGACTTTAAAAATAAAAAGGTTAAATAGTCAGAATGGCAGTCACGTACAGCCAAAGGTTGTTACAATGAATTTCGCCACGGGGGACTTATTTTGCTTCCTCAATTAAATGTTTATAAATAACCGTCACCCGTTATAGTGAAATGACAAAAAAAAATTTACATGCTAAAAGGGAAACCATGGGATAACTGTAACGAGTTTTGAGCACATAACAATAAAAATCGCACTCAATATCGTCTACGTTCGAATTTAAATTATACACCAGTTTTAAAAATGATTTAAATATAAGTTTTACGAGGCGTGTTATAAAAAACTAGTGTATTCTGTCTGTAGTCAGTCAAAGTCAAATTGAAGTGATAATAATTTAATACAAAATTCCCGATGTGCATCAATTTATCTCGTGATTATGATTTTAGTATTAGCTTGCTTTTAAATTTTTTGTGTTACAAAACATAATATTAGCGCATGAAAGTTTTCAAAAAAATTTTTTAAAAATACATATAAAAATCTAATAACTTTACTGATTGACTTTCTTTTTTCTTTAAATTTTTGAATACAACAAACAACAATAATTGTCAAAATGCAACGTTCTAAATCTCACACCCCACCAAATAGAACACCATCTGATAATGTTAATCAACGTGTTGGCATTCCCATTAATTCAAACAATGCTAACACTAACACTAACAACAATCCCACACCATCTGTTCCGACTGTTAACAATAATTCAACAATTAACGATAATAGAAATTTACAACAGAAAGGTCTTGAATGGGTGCTTGGACGATCAGTTCGAGTCAAAACTTTATTTGATGAGGAATATGAAGGAGAGATTTATGCTTACGATTTAAGAACTAATTGTGTTGTACTTCATATCCTTTTTTTTTTTTTTTTTTTTTGATAAATATAGGAATCTTGTTGGCTAAATTCTTTTTAAATATAACCTTATTAAAAAAATTTTTTAATCAATCAATTAATTAATTAATTATTCTTTAACTCTTTATTTAATTATTCAAAATCCCATGATTTAAAAAATAATTTTAATGAAAAATTACAAAATTCAAGTTCACCAAATCAATTTAATTCAACAACTGCTGCCAACAACGTCAATAACAACACCAATACTGCTTCCATCAATAGTATTTCACCAAAATTTCAGAATTTTGAAAATAAGTTTCCTTAAAGATGTTGTTCAAATTCCAAATCGTAGATCATCAATTGACATTTCTACTAATAATGATGGTAGCGTTCGCAATAATGTTACTAATACTAATAATAACAATAACAATAACATTAATAATAGTAATAGTAGTAATAATAACACCAATATCAATAATAATAACAATAATATTATATCAACAGCAATTGTTGCAAATGGGCAAAATACAAAAACATCAACATCATTACCTTCACCGACATTATCTACTGCAAATATAAATAATAATAATAACATTTTTTCAACATTTACTCCTTCGGTATCTTATGTTCAAATGGATAGAATTCAAACAAGAGATCTACAAGCATATAAAGAGACACGACTTGCATTAGCAAGAATTGGTGTAGGTGTAACACAGGAAGCTCAAGATATTTTTGATGCTTTGAGTAAAACGTTTGTATTATTTTATCTTTTTCGCATGAAATATAAATTTTATTTTTATACTGGAATAATTAAATATATTTTGTATGCGTGTGTATGCGCTTGTGCATATGTTTGTATATATTTATTATAGGTTACCATGTCGATGGGCAGATGAAAAAATTGTTGTTTTGGACGAGGTTATTATTAATCCACCTTATGATCTTGAAAATTGTAAAGCAAGTTCGAGCGCTTCTGGCTCGCTGGCAAGAGTTCGGAAAGTGGTATGTTTTCACATTGATTGGGTGATTGAATGATTGACAATTGGATGAATTTGATCATTAATTTGATTTGCACATAAATGTCATATTAATTTATTTGTAGCTTGAAGGCGAGAAAAGAAGATTGGCCAACATTAGAAAACAATAACGAGATTCAATATTAGTTAATTAATAATGATAATGACAATGTGATAAAGTAAGGAAAATGTGTTTTTTTTTTTTTTAAAAAAAAGTATTATTTTTCGTATATTTCATTCATTCATTTATTTATCATTTATTATATTAACAGTGATACTTAAATTTGAAATTATCAAAATTAATCCATTATGATAATTACCTAATCACAAGGTCTAACAATGATCACACCAACAACAACAATAATAATAATAAAAATAATAAAAATCGTATCATCGTTTTTTTAAGAAAAGTTTTACTCTGTATATATTATTTATTATATAATTGTTTTGTGTAAAAAAAAAATGATGATAGAATAAATAAAAAATTAAAAAACTTTTGAATAATGTAGAACATTATAAAATAACAATTAATGATAAGGATAATAAATCTATTAATTACTATACTGTAAAAAAAATTCCTTTTACCGTTAATATTAAATGTCCATGATATATATATAATCAATTACAATGATGTCATTTCCATTGTTTCTTGTTTAAAGTATCGTTGTTGATTTTTCCATTCTTTAATTATTTCACTAAGGTTAACAAAATAATCCATGAATGCTAATTAAAAATTAAAAAAAAGTAATTTTTTTTTGAAATTTAGTGAAATTATAATAAAAATTTAATCAACATCATCATATTATTTATTATTACCTTTTACACTAAAGTGACCTTTATATTTAACTCTGATGCACCAAAATGGAATTCCAGCAAGTATAAATCCTAACGCTGCCAATGATTCTAATGGAACACGTGTAAATGGCATTATCACCAAGAATAATGCTACACAACAAAATATAATTGGAGTACTAATCCATACTTTATACGGTCTAATATGTAATACAATATGAAAGTATTAATATTTATATTATATATATATATACACATATATGAGAACATTGCGAAATACATGCCTTTTTAGATCTGGTTCTCTCCATCGTAAAACCAATAATCCAAACGACGTAAGGAAATAAAAAACCCAAGCAGCAACCGATACAAAATTCAACAACGTTAAAAAAGTACCAGGTATAATCATCAGAATAGTCAATACAGCTTGCATGATTAATGCCGCGGTAGGCGTATTCCATTTATTATGGACTTTACCAAATACTGTTGGCAAATAACCTTCACGTCCTGCAACATATATTAATCTTGCGCCTGTAAAAATGCTGCCATTAGCTGCACCAAAGCAACTTGCTGCTACACAGAGCGAAAAAAAAATTCCACCAACTGGTCCAAATATTTTTTTACCAAAATCCTAATCAATGAATGATAGATGATAAAATAAGAAAATTATTAATATGTGTAATATAAACATAAATTCGTTTGCATGTTTGCTAGTTATACGGTGGAAAGAATCTTACCAATGCTATCGTATTAGTTTTCAATATAGTTGCTGATGGTAGGACTGCATAATATGCTACATTTGCAAGTAAATAGCTTATAATCACTATAGGTAATCCAAC